GGCGTAACTGGCTCTGCAGAACAAAGTTGGGCTGAACAAAAAGGGAAAGAGAAAAAGAGCAAAACTAAAAGATCACGTGAAGAGTCACGATAGTGGACTCCTACTGGCTCTGGTCTCCTTTATGCCCGTCCATACCTGCAAGGATCTGGGAGGAGGTCTATATACGGGGCGCACCCTACCTCCTTTATCAGGAGGACTTTGGATCTACTGAGGGGAAGTTAACCTGGACCGTATATGCCAGGGCACCTGCTGGCGACCACTTCGTGGAGCATTTGAGTCCTCTCCGCTCTCCTCTGGCTCTGGCCCTAGCCTGGGGGTGGGGGTGGGGGTGGGGGACTTCCCGCAGCCCTCCGCCTCTGGCCTGCGGTGGGAAGCTTGGAAGAACAGAAAGGCTCGCCCCCCCACCCCACAAATTTCCTATGGCCGCTGTAACAAATCACCACAGGCTGAGCGCCTCAGGCAGCATAAATAACTTGCGGTTCTGGAGGTCAGAAGTCAGACACAGGTCTCAATGGGCTAAAATCAAGACAGCTACAGGGCTTTGTTCTCTAGAAAAAAACCTGTCTCCTCCCCTTTCTCAGCATGCAGAGGCTGCTGCCCTCCAAAGCCAGCAGTGGCCAGAACCTCCTCTAAGTGGCCCGGCTGACATCACCCTGCAGCCTCCCTCTCCCACTTTAAAAAATCCTCTAAAATTTTCATTAGCCCATGCTTGCCGTACACAATGCTGGCATTCCTTGTGTGGAGTTGGTGCGTGTACATAACACATCTCAATTCTTTTCTCATCTCCCGCCCCTCCATTCCTTGGTTCTCTTCCCTTTTGCAAAAGACGCATCTCCATGTTTCTTATTGTTTGTCTTTTATTTTGCTCTTTAATTTATATTCTGGGATTCTCATATAAGGGAAACCATACACTATTTTAGCTTGTGTGTCTGATTTATTTCACTTCACACTATGGTCTCAAGGTGCATCCACTGAACTACAAATGACTCAAGTTTATCCTTCTTCGTGGCAGAGTAGTACTCTCTGACATGTAAGTATCAGATTTTCTTGATCCACTCATCAGTTGGTGGGCATATAGGGCCCCTTCCAAGCTTTAGCTATTTTGAATTGTACTGCTATAAGCGTGGGTGTGCATGTATGCCCTTGGAATGATGCCTGAACTGTTTGGGGAAGACACAGTAGGGGTGTAATAGCTGGGTTGAGTGAAACTTCTAATTTCAGTTTTTTGAGGTATCTCTACACTGATTTCCATAGCGGTTGTACCAGTCTACACTCCCGCCAACAATGTGCCAGGCACGCTCTTGGGCACCACAGCACAGAGCCAGCAGAGAGGATTCCTGCCCTCTAAGCCTTGAGCACAGCAAGGAAGAAGGGCATTCGACAGTTTCAACCAACTATGGTGGGTGCAAGGGTTCTGGGGGCTTGTGGCCTGAGCTGGCGTCGAGGGCAGGGAGACACTGAAGCTGACAGAAGCCAGGCACTTGTTGAATGAAATGAGTATTTCACTCCCTGCTCTCTGATTTCTGTCTCAATGAAGCACCTCTCAGCCTCATCCTCCGGGGACCTGCTGTGCAAATTGGATGACTGTTCATCCTTAGCTGGCGAGATCACCAGGCCAAGCACTTGCTTCACGGAATGATCTTCCCTTACTTGCCACAATGAGCTGTTTGCTTCTGTGCTTCTCCACCCCACTGCAGATCTCCTTTTCCTCAGCTGTCCCTTCAAGCCTTGAATTGGGGCTCATTTCTTTTATACTTACTTGTACATGCAATGTCACCCACTTCTATGGGTTTATCCCCAAATCTTGTTTTAAAACAGTATTTTTTAAACAGGGTCTCACTTTGTAGTTCAGGCTGGTCTTGAACTTACTATGTCAACCAGGTTGGTCTTGGACTTTCAGTGATCCTCCTGCCTCAGTCTCCCGAGTGCTCAGATTTTAGGTGTACCACAAGTGGACCAAATCTGTTATCTGACTTTTTTATGAGCTTCAGGCCTAAACTCAGCCTCATCTTGGACACTTACCCTCCTCATATTCAGCAGGTTGGTCCCAGACTGGCTTCAGCACCACTCCCCTCTTCCTCCTCAGCCCATAGTCCCTCTTTCTGAAAATGGTACCACTTGCCACCTAGCTGCAGTAACCAAAAACCTAAGCACAGGCTGAGAGCATCCCTAATCCAAAGACCTGAAATCTAAAATGCTCTGAAGTCAGAACATTTCCTGTCTCAAGTATTTTCGACAAAAGATACACAATTTGTACGGTCTTTGGCTTTTTTCTCACCTCCTTTTCCCAGAGTCCTACTGATTCTTCAGTCTGCAGTTCTTGTCTTTACTCCTGGCTCAGACACCTCTGCTGAGTCAACTGAAGTGGCCTCCGATTGGTCTCTCTGTCCCCAGCTTCGCTGTCCTGTGACCCATCTTCCACACACAGCCCCAAGGTGCCCCATGCCCAAACACTGCTACCTCCGTCCCCCTCCACCGGGCCCGGGAACAGTACTGACCTGCTGCACCCCGCTTAGCACACCCGATGCTTCTGCCCATGTTGTTCCCGCCTCCGGTGGAGCTCTTTGCCTCTCATGGTTTCCCATCTACACAGCCTTGCGCAAGAGCTTAGTTTGTTCTGGACACATATGATAGAGGCTCCTTTTTTAAGCAGCCTGCTTATGAGAGTCACCTGAGCTGTGCGTGCCTGTGGTTCACTCACTTAGGCCATCTCCCCCCGTGGATATGCCATCACCTTCCGTCCCGTCAGAGAGATCCGAGTTGTTTCCGGCTATGACAGACAAGGCTGCATCTCATTTCTCAAGGTACCCTCTGTATTCAATGTCATGGGCTAGGTAGCCCTTGATCCTCCACCTGTCTACTGCTCTCCAAAGCAGTGTGCGAGGGCCTGCCAGACTTTGAAAGGCTTTGCCATATGCTAGTATGCAGTCGTAACTCAGTGTTTTGCATCCATTTTCCCAGTGACAGAAACCAAGTTCTCTCTTTTCTATACTCTTTAAATGTTTTTAAATATTTAAGACATACATGTTATTTTTGATATTCACAGTGAAATGCTTACTGTAGCAAACGAATGTATCTCTCATCTCAGTTACTCCCCTTTTGTGAGAATCCCTAAAATCTACTCTTGAGCAAAAACTGCAAATGCACTAAATATAATCCTCAGGATGACATCAGAACTCTAGACTTTTCTACCTTAAATTTTTTTTTAACCACAGAAGCTGGTTTAAAATATCTGAGTGGTGATAGGCAGGGTCTGGAGTGGTTGCCTGAGGTGGTTATGCATCACGGGTACTCCATCATCAGAACGTGCTAGACAGAAAGCGTTTTCTACTCTGCATCAGTTGTGCGTCCTGGTCAGCTGGCATCACAGTGCTTTTTACTGAGGGTCTCTGCATCTAAAAATAAAGACACTGGGGTTGCCAATGGGTCGTAAACTCCGCCGGCCATTTGTCAGTCAAAAATAGAGACAAAGGTTGCTGGTAAGATAACATGTGGAGTAGCCCCTAGGAAAAGAAAAGAAAATGGGCACCACACACATTTCAAACACATACACAGTTACACCCCTGGGCAAAGCGTGTTAGACTTTAGTTTCTATATTTATTACAGCAGGTCTCTAGTCATTATTGCCATGAAAAAGTTTTCAGGAAATTTCACAAAATTCTTTAAGCAATTAGCATTAGCTTTCTTCTTTTTATGGAGTGACACTTTGTTAATTTATGAAATATTTACAGCGTTTACAAAAAGCCAGAGAATGTCTAATAAAATTTCTTATACTTACAAAATTCATACATTATACTGCCATATTTGAGATGTCTTATTTGGTAGACCAATTAAACTGTGACATAAAATAATTTACAAAGATATATTTAATCTCTCTTAATTCATTGAAAACAAAACCATGTTAGCTATAAATAGTCCTTTACAAATCATTGTAAAACACATTAATTGTTTGAACTCTAGTCTTAGCTTTTACAAATATACTAAATGAATTAGTTCAAATAACAAATACAACTGTGCATTTAAAATTTCACTGAATACTACAAAACAAAACAACCTGAAAAAGCAAACTGCCCAGTACTTCAAGTAAAAATTTGTAGAACCAGTTTTTATGCATGTTTTCGGGGAGGGAAACCCAACACCATTTAAACTGAACTACATAAACAAAATACTTCCAAATACACTCAACAAATGTACATCCGGGGCATTTATTTCAGAGAATGATGCTCCAGCAGAGAGGCTCACACATCCCACATCCAAGGTTAACCCTACGTTTTGGCAGATCGGCTGCATTGATGAGAACCATGTTTGCGCAAACATTCACCAAAGCAGCAGGAGGAACCCAACATTCCCACAGTGCTATGTATCAAACAGTGCTATATATGGGGTTTGCCACAACCTGAAAACAATTCAGAGTTTTGGGCAAGCTCATGAGAGAGTCTAGAAAGTAGAACTGGCAACATGAAGAAAAATCAAATCATATTTAACTGGGTCCCATCAGTTTAATATAAAAATATGCTTCTCCTGAAAATTAGGGGAAAACCTTTTATATTCCCAAATTTCAAAATAATGAAAAACTCACCTACAGAGACAGCTATTTCTCTTTAAGTCACCACTTAGGATGGTATGAAAGTTGGCAATTATTTTACACGTTGCTTCTGAAGAATGCCGAGGAAGCTGAGCTTAATTTGGTTTTGGCAGAAACACCCACCTTTCACATGTGGATTCATTTCAGAGAAATCAAAGCAACTTCTGTCTTATAAGCATCATGAGGAAAATCCCCTGGACAAACATTTTCCCCCTCTGATTTAAAATAATGCTGTTGCAATTAAGCCCACAAAATACATATCATATATGTAGCATTTCTATAGAGATAAATTAAATTTTATCTCTCAAAAACTGCTTTCTACAGGTGTTAGGATTTTCCAGAACCTCCTCTTGGATCCTTTCTTCTGATTGCCGTGGGGACAATGTAGTTTTCTTGTAATAGGTATTCTAGAAGGCACATCTTCAAGAGTTTAAGGTAAGGTTAGCTCAAGATCTACATGGAGGCAAATATTTTACTCTACTTTGTACAGATGCCCACAATTATTTCCTTTATTCTGAGCTTAGATGAAGTGCCAGGGTTCCCCCTCAGAAGTGAGTTTGCACATGGGGCATCATTTGGGAAGGGGAGGTTGGGGGGTCTGAAAGCTTGGCTGAGTTGGCGAGCTGCAGCTCCTCCAGCCGCTTGATGTAGTCGTCACGCAAGGCCAGGAGCTCCATGTAGCGCTGCTCCACGGGATTTGGCTGCTGGAGAGAATCAGGAACATGAGTTACACCTTATGCAGCCACACGCCAAGAACACATCTGCCCACACATCTGCTGCAGCCACTACCTTGCAAATAAACCCTTTTCACCAAGGGTTAATATGACACATATGTTCCTTCACACTGCACCACTGACACACAGGAAATGGTACTTCGAATCCTAAAACACCCAGATATCCATCACCAAGAAATAAGCAATGTATGCATTTCTTCACCCATGCACTGCCATCTTTAAAACTCTATCAACGCAGACAGAGCTCTGATCTCCCATGTCCCTGTCTCCAGACCTGCTTGCCCTCTTTCACTCTGAAGGACAATGGTTCTTAAATGGCCCACTTGTCCATGCAAATTGTGACTCTTCTCTGAGAAGTGAGTATCCAAAAACACACAGTATGTGTCCTTTAGATCTCGTTCATTTGATATCACTGCCTCTGCCATGTATTTATGAGCGATATTCTGACCCTATATTATTTTCTGAATTTGATTCCTGTTGGATCCCACTGAAGGAACTGATCAGTGGATCCCCATGTGCCCTAGCTGAGGGTAATCAGCATGCAATGCTGTACTGAGCACCCTTGCACACACATCTCCTTACATACATTTCCTTGCACACACATGCGAGCCTTTATTTCTCCAAGGAATCCTCCTAGGGTGTGGGACTGCTGAGAGGGAGTGTGGTCTCTTCAACCTCACCATATGCTGCCAAATTGCCACTGGTGGGACCATGGCTTCCCACTCCCTGGCAGCTCCTGTTGCCTGCACACTCACCAGAAATTGGGAGCAGATTTTTTTTTTTTTGCCAACTCAAGGACTTTTCTATGGTACATCATGGTGGGCTGAGTCTGCATGGCTCTCGCCACCACCTGTCCAGTAGCTTACTACCCATGTTAACATGTGGCATGGCTGTGAGTCCTGGGTGTGCTCCTTACTGGCTGGACAACTAACCTTCTCGGAGCCTCCACTGATCTATCTGGAAAATGGGAATCAAACCTGCATGAACCTTACAGCTTCATTGTGAGAGAGAATTGAGTTAATAGTTCTTTTACTATGGTTTCTTGGATGGATAAATAGGGGACTGATGGTTTAAAGGCAGAAGTTGTGCTGTAGCATAAGGCAATTCTTTCTAGCATGTTCATTTTTTCAACTTTTGCACTGGGATATAAATCACACACAGTGTGCACATCTTAAAATGTTTAGCTCAACCAATCTCTACAGAAGCATATGAGGTGCGATAGAAAACAGTGAATGTTTAAAAAAACCCCAATTTATTAGAGGAACAGATACATTGCCACGAATCGCCTTCAAAATACCCCCCCAAAACACTTATCCCACTGTTCTTGCCACTTTCTGAAGCACTTCTGGAGGCCCTCTTTCCTGAGTGTCTTTACTTGTACTGTTGTGGCTTCCTTGATGTCCTGAGCTGATGCAAAACATTGACCTTTCGTGGTCATTGGACTTTGGGAAACAGCCAGAAGCTGCATGGCACCAAATCCAGTGAATAAGGTGGATGAGGACACACCACCAAGTTTTTACAAGTCTACCTTCCTGTTGGAAAGCAGCACTCATCATCCCCGCACCCCCAGTACTGGGGATCAAACTCAGGGCTTGGTGCTTGCCAGGTAGGCATGGTACCACTGAGCTACACCTCTGGGCCACTCACCATATTTTTGATCACACCTTGTAAAGACAACCAAGAAAGAAGAATTCCAGAAATGCTTCAGAAGGTGGCAAGAATGATGGGATAAGTATGTTTGAAAAGAGTGTAAGTATTCTGAGGGGCATTCACGGCAATGTGTCTTTCATTGTAATTTTTAAAAATTTTAAGCCGGGCATGGTGGCGCATGCCTGTAATCCCAGCACTTGGGAGGCTGAGGCAGGAGGATCTCTGTGAGTTCAAGACCAGCCTGGGCTACATAGTGAGTTCCAGGTCAGTCTCAACTACATAGTGAAACCCTGTCTCAAAAAAAAAAAATTAGATACACACTATATATGTTGATCACACCCGGTACATTACGTATTCAGTTTCTGGGACAAGATACGTGACTGAAGATCTCCACAGAAAGTTAATGTTTTGAAGTGATCAAGAGCAAGCTTCCCAGAAAGCCTGAGCAACATACGAAGACATTACAAAAAAACCTGAAGGTTTTCCTTTGGCACATGTAGTGGCTTCCAGAATAGTCCTGCATTCAGCTACACTCAACTATCTGCCAGAGCTGTGAGCCCCAGCTGTGCGCCTGTGTCTTAAGTGTCCCTCTGCTCTATCTTGGGAGAATACTCATCATGAAATTTAGGGCCCACTCTAAATACAGGCTGAATATCACTTTGAGATTCTAAACTTAATTACAAGTACAAATACCATTTCCCTAAGTAAGGTCACAGTCACAGTTGCTGGGTAGAAATAGCTTTTTTGGGGGGAGGTGGTGCCATTTAACCCACTACAGGTTGCTACAAAGTGAATTGGCTAAGGGCAAGTATAAATGTAACTGTTATGGTTTATATCTAGATGACTCCCCTAAAGCCTCATGTGATCACAAGCCAGACCCTTTGGAAGGTGATTGGATTTTAGGAGTTTATAGCTGCCTTACTGTTAGGAGGTGGGGCCTGGTGGAAGAGGCAGGTCAATGTGGGCATAACTGGGAAGCTCTATCTCCCTTCCCAGCTCCTCCTTTGGCACGCTTTACTTCCTGAATCCATGAGATAAACAGCTTTCCTCCGCCCAGGCCCTTCTACTATGCGGCTTCTGCCCTGGAGCCAGCTGACTGCAACCTTTACAAAACAGGAGCCAAAATAAACTTTTCCTCCTCTAATTTGGTGGTGTTCGGTATTGTATCTCAGTGGCAAGGAAAATAACTAAAGCAGATTTTGGTACCAGAAAAGTGGGGTCATTGCTGTGACACTACCTGGCCATGAGGTTTAGAAGCCTTTGGAATTGATTTGTGGAATTTTGGAAAGGTATGGAGATGCTGGCTGGACAAGAAACCCTAGAATGCTGTAAGATATGTTGGATAAGAGATTCTAGTCAGAGCTCAGAAGATCAGAAGGCTAATAAAAAGGTAGATGGTAAAGACCAGGCTTAGGAGGTATCAGGAGGACTCTACTGGTAGTTGGACTCCAGGCCATGTGTTATGCTTGGCAGAAAATTTGTCTACATTTTGCTCATGCCCTGAGACTTTGTGGAAGACTGAGATTAAAGGTGGTAGACTAATCTAGTGAAAGAAATTTCAGGGCAGCCTAATATTCATGCTGTAACATGGATACTGCTTGTTGCTTCTGGCCAGGTTTATAATGAAAGCCAGGAGTAAAAAGTCCATTTGAAAGGTTTTTTAGCTTGGACAGAAAAGAAGTCTATGCAAAAGTGGTATCTTGAAGAATAGGGTCACAGAAAAGATTTTAAAAAAGCCAAGTACTTTACAACAGGACAATAGAAAAGATGGCTTGAAGGCTGAACTAGTAAGAACCACCCTTCACAGGCTCAAAGATGGAAAAAAGTGATTTTGCTTTGAGAAGAAAGCTAGAGCTGCAGGGCCTACCACTCAAGAACAGCTGCATAGGGCACTGATTCCCCACTTCACAGAGTTCAGCCATCCAGGCACTAAGAGGCCTCTATAGCCATGACCCGGGGGGGGGGGCTTGGCTCTTCTTGAGCTGTCAACAGACCTTGGTGTGGTGCTGGTTGTATGCACATGCAGAATACAAGAGTTGTGGGGTTGGGGAAAGCTTCTACCTAGGTTTCAGAGGAAGGCCTGGGAGGCCAGGCAGTGCGCCCGAGAGGGCAGTGCTTCCAGCTGTGAGAGTGAAGCTGAAAGAGCAGTGGAGACCCTAGGAAGTTGGAAAAGCCAGGAATGTCTGAGGAGAGCTGCAGAGAATAAGCCAACACTAAAGAGAGGCCACGAGGGCTGCAACCACCAGCAATGCTGTAGAGATGGGACTACCCAAACCCTTTGGAGTTCACAGCTTGCCACAGCTTTCCCTAAGTACTGGACATGGAGCAATAAGATGTAATGTATGCCCTGCTGGGTTTAGTTCTTGCTTTGGTCCAATTCATTTCTATTTTCCTATTCTTCCCTGTGCTATTATATGTTACCAATGCTTAACTTTCTTTTTAATATTACTGGTGCTCATAGCTCATAGTTTGCCTTAAGTCTCAGAGGAGACTTTGGAATTGGGATTTTTCAGCAATGCTGGAACTGTTAAGACTTTAGGGCTGGGGATTTAGCTCAGTGGTGCCGCCACTTGCCTCTCAAGTGCAAGGACCAGAGTTTGATCCCCGGAACCAAACCAAACCAAACCAAACCAAACAAAAAAAACAGGCTTTGGTGACTCTTAGAGATGGACTAAATGCCATTTGTACAAAGAGATATAAATGAGTCTTTTGGGGGCTGGGGCAGAATGTTATGATTTGTATCCAGATATCCCCCTAAAGCCTCATGTGATTATAGGTAGGACGCCTGGAAGGTGCTTGCTTATAAAAGGGGCATTATAGTTGACTTGCTTCTAGGAGGCAGGGCCCAGTGGAAGAGGCAGGTCACTGCTGGCCTCACACAGTTTATCCTATCTCCCTCACTGGCTCATCCCTGGAATCTCTCTGCTTTCTGTTTTATGTTTTTTTTTTTTTTTTTTTCTGGAGATTGAATTTGAGACCTTATACTTGTGAAGCAAGCAGCAGAACCACTGAGCTAAATCCCTAGTCCTCTCTCTGCTTTCTGAATGCCATAAAGTGAGCAGCATTCCTCTGCCCAGGCCCTTCCACCATGCTGTTCTGTCCTGAAGCCAGCTGACTAGACTGCAACCTCTATAAAATGTGAGCCAACATAAACCTCTTTAAGCTGTGGGTGTTAGACACTGCACCTCAGTGATAAGGAAAGTCACTAAGACACCCAGTGATCTACTCGGATTGCTGTCTCCATTAGTGCTCTGGTCACCAAAGTCCATTAGTTCTCTTCTCCTAATCCTCTTTCTGAAATCACTGCTGTTCTCAGTGTGGATTTGTACTGTGAGGTTTTCCAGAAGTGAATACACAGCATCAGAACAGGAATGCTTCTAACACCTAGTAAATGTTGCTTACTGATCTCTTTTGTCCATTTTTCTCTCTTATGTAGCCAACAGAGGGTCAGATGCTCAGGACCAGGGAAAGAGAAAGCTGGTGCTCATGACCCTTATTTCCAGCAGGGGGAGCCAGACAAACAAGGAATAAAATACCTTGAGTGGGAATGTTTGCAGCTGATCTGTGACAGAGAAAAGGTGAGCAGGGCAAGAGGGTGGGGACTGATGGGGCACTGGTTACTCTCTCAACTGGGTGTATGGAGGAGGCTTCACTGAAGGAAGAGGGGTCTGGGTAGATATCTGTGTGAAGAGAAGCAGAGAGGCCAGTGTGGTGCGAAACGTGTGAAGAAAGAGGCCAAGATATCAGAGAGGTAGAGGGTGGAGTAGGTGCCACAGGGGGACCTCAGGGACAGGCTCAGAGGAAGTAAGGGCCCCAGCATCCAGCTGAAGGGTCGCTGCCACATGGGGACCGCAGTAGGTGGAGGAGGTCTGCTCAGGAGAGCTGGGATGCTGGTTACGCTGGGAAGGCGAAGTCCACCGGCTCCTCCTGACAACTGGTGTGAGGTGTGAGACAGAACAGAGTCCAGGATGTTGCGGGCAGGGAGATGGGGAACACAGCAAGAGGGGAGGCATGGGGCACCTGAGGGGTTCTGTCTGGATGCACTTCCTGAATGAACAGTCTGTTCTTTCTCCCATGCACTACAAGGCCGTCTCCTTTCTGCACCAAGTCTCTATATCTATGTGGGTCTATTTCTGACTTCTGCTCTGTTCCGTGTGAGTCTTGACATGCAGTAGGGTGCATAAGTTCTTCCTCAATAGTCTACTCTAAAATGGCCTTTGTTTTGAAAATCTCCCTTTTTCATATGAATATCAGAATCCAGAATCGGTTTGAATATTAAAATTTGCATGCAGTGGTGCCCGTAGTATGAGACAAGAAAAAGAAATCAGAACAAAATCATTTGTGCAGGTGGTGTGATTGTACAATTAGAAAACTTGAATGAAGCAAAAAGGTAGAAACAAAAAGATAATTCAGCCAAGTAATGGGTGCAAAATATACAGAAGCCTTTAGCCTACAAACAGACAAAAACCACTCAGAGGATGTAACTGGAGTCCATCCGGTGGAATAAAGACCAAGTAACTAGAATTTGCAATCCAGCGGCTTTAAATGTTATATGTCAACTTTCCACTTGGGAAATGAGTTAGGAAGGAAAGTGTGGGCCAACTCAGCATGGTGCTGGAGCGAGCAATCAGCTAGTTATACAAGTATTTCAGGCTTCGAACATTTTCCTATTCAGATGCCTTTTGAAGTTGCTTGGAGAAGTGACTTTATGGCAGCCTGTTAATATGTCTGTTCAGTTCTCATCCTTTCGTTCCTACTATTAAGAACCCGAACATATCCCATGTAAGCCTGCAGACGGCTACATGGAAGGCAGTGGTTCCCAAAGTGTCCTATGAGGGTCACTGGCAGCCGAAGGTCCTACTCAGGCTGACCATGTGACTTCCGGTGTGAGTCATTTCCTCATAGTATAAGTGCTAAAGCTGCTATCCGTAGCCTGGTCTTAGGTCTCAGCAAAGGCCAGTGGATTTTGCTTTTGAAGTCTGACAACTCAGTAGGAGGGGTCTGTGTATTCTTTGTTTCAACATCTGACAGCAGATTGCAGAGCACTGAACATTGCAGGTGTCCAGGAGCTGTATTCTTTGGCTCACACGACTGGATAACAAACGTTTACATGACTAAGTACATTCTTTCAGGTCTCTTTTGATGTGTATATATATATATACACACACACACACACACACACACACATATAGATGTAAATGTTTCCTGGCACGAGGATTAATCCCTGGGCCTTGTGTGTACTAGGTAAGCACTCTCTCACTGAGCTGTACCCCAGCTCCTACATTATATGATTTTAAAAGTCCTATGTGATTTGACTTAAATCTATTTCTGTATGAAATAATGTTCTACATATAAGCGGATCTTTAAGAAAGCCTAATGTACTTAATCCACACCTCTATTATCAGATCGGTCCCTGTGTATTACAATCATCGGCTTATATTCCTGCCTGCCCCCGCCAGCCTGCTGCTTCCATGTGGGCAGGGACCACCTTTTCCTTCTTTTCTTATCTTTCTTCTTCTCTGTTTCTCTGTCTTTCTCCTTCCTTTCTGTCCTTCCTGCCTTATTTTTCTTTTTTCTTTCTTATTCGCAGTACTAGGGCTGAACCCAGAGCCTTCACACTGAGCTACATCTTCAGCCCTTTTCATTTTTTGAAACAGGCTTTCACTAAGGTGCCCAGGCTGGGCTTGAACTTGAGATCCTCTTGCCTCGGCCTCCCAGAGTGCTGGGATTATGGTGTATACCACCATGCCCTGCCTGGCAACCACCCCTTCCTAGTCTGTTTCCCCCAGTAGACGACCATATGAAGTGCAGGGGACACCAGGATGCTTCATATTTAGAAAATACAGAGAAGATACTTTCTTTTCTGAGGCAATGCCACTGGCTCATAATAAAGAGCAATCACTCTGTCAAAGTAAAAACCTCTACCAGCGGACGGACATTCCTATCTGGCCCCGTTTCATTTTGCCAAACCCTGTGATAGAGCTGGGGGTGGCGGCACATTCCTGTAACCCCAGCACTCAGGAGGCTGAGGCAGGAGGATCACAGTGAGTTCAAGTCCAGCCTGAACTACACAGAGAAACCTTGTCTTAAAAAGTAAATGAGTACAAACGCTATGAGGATTAGGGAGATAAACATATCATAGTAAGTTTTTCTAAGGATGTGTCTTTGAACTTGATTTTGTCAGCAAAAACAAAACCCACAAAAAACAAACACAACCCCCCAACCAAAAAATAAACTTAATGTGTCACACAATTACCATTGCTACCTTTCTATATTCAAGAATGAATTGCTCTGAATTCCTTGAATTTCAAGAACCTCTCCAAGCACAAATGGGTGCAATATTGCAGAATCTGTACAGACACTGTCAAAACTTGCTAAATGCCAAGGATTTTTAAAGCCACAACAAGGACAGAACAGGCTCATTTTATAGGGTATACACAGTGCTCATTTAGGCAATATTTTTAATTAGAAAAAGCACGTCCTCCTTAAGAGCGGTAGGGACTCCTGTGTACTTCTAACTTGATATTCTAAACAGCAGAACAACTGCTAAGTAAATTCTCTCAATGTGCTGCTCAAATCCCAAACGAAACAAGTGAATGTTCTCAAGCTTTGGACCCTGTCACATTTCAAACATTACCACATTGCAAAAGCCTTTCATGAGAGTGGCAGGGACTTTGAAATTCGGGTGCCAGCTCGAAGCGGGCATCTCCCCAGCAAGGAGGGGCCAGTGTATGAGTGGAATATGCAATGTGGGGATGGGTGGCAGCCCTAGATCTTCGCTGCCGGCCACTGCCAGCAGGACTGAAGCCGGGGCTGGACCGTGAGAACAGGTGCTGGGCCACCCAAACCGCAGGGCAATGTGTGAGCCTTCGTAAGAGGCTATGAGGAGACTGGGTATTTATAATGCTTGAAACAGCCCCGTAAGAGAAAGCAGTTCTGGGCCAGCACAAATGGGCCGTTTTGTCTTCTGATTTTGGATGCAGTGTGGGTGGGAGAATGGAAAGCCCAAGGAGCTGTACTAAAACGTGGAGTCTTTCAATTCAAAAACCTTTACTGCCACTTTTGACTGACAGGTTGCCAGCCGTGTCTGCTACCCATTGACAGGTCGAGTGTCTTTGTTTCAGACAGAAACCCTCAGTAAAAATCACTACAGCTGGGAGCAGTGGTGCATGTCTGTAATCCCAGCACTTTGAAAGGCTCAGGCAGGAGGATCACAAGTCCAAGTCTTGCCTGGGCATCTTAGTAAGCCCCTGTCTCAAAACAAACAAACAAAAATATTTAAAACAGGCTAGGGTCGTAGCTTAGTATAAAGGCCCTGGATCCAATCTCCAGTAACCCCTCAATGCCCCACACTGCATATTTTGATGCTAGCTGACTTACTACATAGACCTGAACCAGAGAGGGAAACATATTTTTCCCCCTTACCAAGATTATCAGCATCTAGCTGATGTAAAGAACATTCTGATGACAGATGTGAGGTATCCTATGATACATAGCCACTTCAAGTGATTACAGGAAACCTCTGGCTATGAAAACACAGAAATTTTCTAGTCCTTTAAAGCAGCAAGTGTTACAGTAAAACATCACAGCTGCCAGGTGTGGTGGTACACACCTGTAATCCTAGCCCCTCAGGAGGCTAAGGCAGGAGGATCACAAGTTTGAGCCTAGCCTGGGCAACTTTGTGACTCTGTCAAAATAAAAAATAAAGAAAGAGCTCGGACTGTAGTGCAGCGCCAGAGTGCTTGCCTAGCATCTGTGAGGCCCTGGGTTTAGTTTCCAGCGATGTAAAACAAAACAATTAACAATTATAGCATTCACAGTGGCAGTGGAATTTAAGTTTAAAATACATGGCACAGTAAAACAATGTTAAAGGTGAGTTTAAAAACAACTATCTGACTCCGGTATTTCTCTTTATGCTTTAAAAAAACATACTAAATACTATTAAGTCCAGAAAAAAGCGTGCAGTTGCTCTGGCTGTGTACTAACAGTGTTATTTCACTTACTTGTTGCTTGATTCTGGGGTTCCACCTAATGTAGTAATTCACCCAGAGTTCCAAGTGACGCATACTGGCAACTGGATATAAAACTCGATTGATTTCTTTTGTATAGAAGGGGTTTTTGAATTTCTCTTTGCTGCTGTTGATCATTGACCACAAAGAAACTGTTCTTTCTGGGACTTTCTAGAGAGAAAGGGAGAGAAAGTGGGAAGCCTAAGTAAACTTGCCAACGCACAAACCTTTCTGAAGCCCATGGCAATACAGTTCAGAACCAAGTGGAGTCGTGCGCACTTCCGTTACCCCTGATAGCTCCCAGACACTTACCCGTATTTGCATAGGTAATGGCCTGGCCACTGTTCCTGCCAGGAGACCAGTGCAGGACACTACACCATTAAATGCAATTTGCTGACCTAAAGAGACTATTCCTGGTGAGGCAAAACACTTAGGAACAGATGGGCAGTACATTCTTTTGAATTTACCGAAAAGAAAAAAAATCACTGACTTTTAAAAATTTGTCTGCCGGGCGTGTGGTGGCGCACGCCTGTAATCCCAGCACTTGGGAAGCTGAGGCAGGAGGATTGCTGTGAGTTCGAGACCAGCCTGGGCTACATAGTGAGTTCCAGGTCAGCCTCAACTACATAGTAAAACCCTGTCTCCAAAAAAATTGTGTTTCTTATAGAACGATGAAATCTTAGCCTATGTCTCCTCGACAGTAGGCATTTGGACATAAAATTATTTTAATCAAACATCCAGATGCTTAATCTACATCATATCAACATCAAGGTATTTGCAAACATCTGGAGAACTAATAACACAGTCTTCACTTTTTAACTTTTACTTGGTATCCCTTATCTCAAAAAAAATTCCCATTTTCACTGCTTTTGAATCAGAGCTCTTTACTGAATTTTGACTATAAAATGCAGAAAAAATGAAGCTTGGAAATAAAAAAAAAAGAATTAAAACTATCAATGGTGAAATCCAAAACTGTTCCTAGTAACAACTTCAATAAGGAAATACCAAAAAGCTAAAAATTGAAAGCTAAAAAGAACGCTCGAAATAAGTGAATAAAGAAATTTCTTTAACATATGTTCATTAACACAAAGAACACTAATAATAGCATCATTTTGCCTTCCTTTGAATTGTCCTAAAATGTTACAGGTACCTTTCCTGTGTAAAAGTGTAGCTTGCATTGTGTTTATGCATTCTTATTTATTTTTATGCATATGCAATTTGAAACAGTTAGTTTAACCATGTTGTCGTGGGAAAAAAATCAATTTCTCACTTCACCCCAGAAGCAACTGTGTTTGATTTTTCCTTGCTGAAGTGTGACTGCCACGAAAACATCCTATCTGTCTAAGGTATACAACATGATTTATCTAGACTTTGTGGACTGCATGACTGATTGCAGAGAGGGTCTGGCCTCAAACAACCCTTCTGCCTCAGCCTCCCCAGTAGCTGGGCCTTCGGGTGAGCCTGGCCAACATGATGTTGTGACATACATGTATACTGTGACATAACCACACAAGCAGGTTTCTGAAAACCAGTACATTGTCTTTATTTGCAGTCACACGTGTGGGCCACAGCACACCAGAATTTCTTGTCCTGTCTATGACTGTGACACAGTACCCCTGGTCAACCTGTCTCCATCTCCCTTTCAGCCTACTCTCCCAGCCTCGGTAATCACCATTCTACTCTCAACTTCCATGGAATCCACTGTTTAGATTCCACACAGGAAGGAGTCTTTCTGCACCTGTCTTATTTCTCTTAACACAATGGACTCCATTTTTATCCATGTTGCTGCAGATAGGGATTTTGTCTTTTTTACACCTGAATACTATTTGGGTTGTTTCCATTTCTTGGCTACCACAAATACTGTTGCAACGAACAGGGGAACGCACACGCCTCTTGAACAGACTGTTTTCATTTCCTGAGGGTATTTACCTAGGAGTGGGACTGCTGGGTCATTACGGTGGCTCTATTTTTAATCTGCTAAGGAAGTGTCACACTGTCTTCTATAATGGCTGCATCAATTTGTGTTTTTTTAAGTGGTTTATTGGGTACTTTTCTCCATCTCTCTGAGTAACATGCTTTTATTGTTATCCCTAGTGATAGGCATTAACTTCTGACGCCATCATAATCCGAGTGTGTTTCTTTCCCACTCCTGCCATACTCACATGCTTTCTGTATTTTTTCTGTCACATTATCGCCAATACGTAGCATAGCTTTGATTAGATCTGTGTTTATCAGTCAGATTCCAATGACTAAGCACATGCTGTTTACAGCTAGGGCATGCATTCCCTCTGTGGAGATTACTTTCATTTTCCTGCACACATTTTTCATTTCCACTTGATTTCACAATTGTCTCTTTGGTTTACTTTTCTTGGCACTTACTGACTCAACCTCAAACTCTCCCTTCCACATGTCACTCGCCCCTTGAGATGATTAGACACACGGGGTATTCTGCGCTTCATCTGTGGAGGTGCTCCAATCGGTACTAGTGGTTCTGAGCCTTGTGGTCAGTTCCCCTCTAGAGTCTCTTTTCTGTGTCACTCCATAGGCACCCTCTGCCTTGGTCTAGGCCAGTGATGGCGAACCTTTTAGAGCTTTCAATGACACAGCCTGCTGTGGCACGCATGCCATAGGTTCACCACCACTGCTCTAGGCAGTCTTTCTGTTTTCATTGAACGCATATTTCAGTTGCTTCCAGAGAAAGGGTGAGCCATGGGAGGATTCTTGATACCATGTGATTCTGAGAATATCTTTGTTCTATCTTCACATTTGGTTAACAATTTGATTGCTGTATGTATTAGCCATCCTCCAGCCACTGGGACACAATGCCCAACACCCACACCTTAAAGGAGGAGGTTTAACGTGGCTCACAGTTGCCAGGGTTTGGTCCATGGTTAGCTGGCTCCAGGGCAGTAAGGGCATGGTAGAGGAAAGCTGCTTACCCCATGGCAGCCCCAAAGCAGAGGGAGAAGGGAGGAGCCAGCGATAAGAATACACCTTTCAGGTCACACCCCTCAGCAACCCACTTCTTCCAACCAGGCCCTACCACCAAACATGTAAGACCCTTTGGGGGGCATTTTAGATCTAAACCATAACACTATAGAAAGCTAGGTGGAAGACATTTTCATTTAAAATTCTGAATGTAATGCTCTATTGACTTCTAATCTCCAATATTGCTGTCGAAGAAAGTCTTCCTGATTTCTGTTGCTTTGCATATATAGGTTCACTATCTCTTACCCAAAATGCATGGGACCAGAGGTGTTCTGGATTTAGGTGTTTTCAGATTTGGGCATATTTATATACATATAATGAGACTTCTTGGGGAGGAGACTCAAGGCTAAACATGAAATTCATCGATGATTCCTATGGACCTTACAGACAGAGCCTACATTACACAGCATTTTAATGTGCCCATGTTTTGACTGTGACCTGTCACATGAAGTCAGGTGTGAAATTTTCTACTTGTTCCATGTCCATGCTCAACACTTTTGGATTCTGGAGGATTTTGAATTTTTGGTTCAGGGATGCTCAACTTATAACCCATTCCCTTTTTTTTCTTTGGAACTTGTGGGATCTTCTCTTTGGCCCTGGTGATCAGAAACTCCATAAAAACAATATTTTCATCTAACTTGCTTGACACTTGGCAAGCCTTCTAATATGAAAACTCACTCAATTCTGAGAAATACTCTCAAATTATTTCTGTGATGTCCTGCCCTCTGCTTTCCCTACTTCTTCTTTGTGCGACTGCTTTTATTTGGATATTGGACCTCCAGGACTGATCTGCTAATTTCCTTCTCTTCATTTTCTCTGTTTCTCTTCACTGCTTTCTGGGAGATATTTTCAACTTTATCTGGCAACTCTTCTGAGTTTTGTAGTTTCAAAGTTCATTTCTGATCTCTACATGTTCTTTCCAAATAATATCTAATTTGTGCTGCCACTATTTTTATCTTTCTTGGGCTGCTGAATGGTGGTCTCTTGCCTACATCTCTACCCCTACATAGTGACTCTTTTGCTCCTCCTTGGCTGTCTGTTATTATTTAAGAGCAGAAAAGGGAAGAGTTTCTTGGGAGCTCTGAAATCTTATCATCTGTGGGTGTCACTGTGCGGAATACCTACTTACTTGTTGGTACCTTTAGATCCTCCTTCTTATAAAACTCAGTTTCTCCAGAGATATTTTAAAAATTGAGGCAAAATTCACATACACAGAAGTTATCATTTTAACCACTATAGACTTTAGCAGTTTTTAATCTATTCACAATGTTATGCAGTAACCACCTCTCTCAGTTCTCAGCACTCTTTTTCCATCAGAAATTCCACACACCTTAATCAGATGCTCCCCATTCTCCCTTCTCCAGCCCCCCAAAACCAGTCTACCTTCTGTCCCTACAGATTTGCCTGTTCTGGATATTTCACGTAGATGGAATTGTACAGTATGTGGCCTTCTGTACCTGGCTGCTTTCACTGGGAATAATGATTTCAAGGATTATTCACACTGTATCATGTTTCAGTACTTTTTATGGCTGAATACTACTCCACCGCATGGATATGGATGGACAAGTTTGTTTGGTCATCCGTCCCCTTGACAGACATCTGGCTTGCTCCCCTCCTTTGTCTACTGTGAACACACACATGTGCAAGCGTTTGTTTTCAACCTGTTTTCAGTTCTTCTGAGTTCATGCCTGGAAATTTCTAGGTCATATGATACCCTGGGTCTATATTTTGCTTCCTGAGGAACCACCAAGCTGTGCAGCAGCTGCACCACTGTCCATCCCCACTGCCCATTTCTGAGGGTCCCCATCCTCGCTGATAGAGATGCTTCTTTTGCATCCCTACCTGGACAACAAGGACCTGGCTCCGGAATGCTGGGGGTGAGTGGGGAGAGGGCTAGGGCTGGCGTAGGGCAGCACTTCTCTATCTAGCCTCTCAGGAAGGGGCCCATGCCCAAGTCCTTAGCTGCAGAGAGCGAAGGGGCAGACCTGCACAGCTCATTCGAAATACACCTCAGTTACCCTCCCCTGCTACCCCAGATCCCTCCCTGGCAGAGTGCAGCCCAGAGGGCCTACAGTGCAAGGTGGGCTGGTTCTTGGCTTCCACATTATGTACACTGTACGTCTGAGATTTGTTTTTCCCAAGCTCAGTTACTTCCCACTTACTCCTGGCTTTCCAGTTTCTAAAAGTTTGACGCTTTCTCCTTTTCTCTATCCTTATGGGTTCATGACCTTTAGAAAATTCCCTTCACTGACATTTTCATGGCGTTTCAGAAGGGAGAAGTAACATACTTTCAAAGTGATCCTGCTCCTTGAGGTAAAGCTGGTGTCTTAGGAGCAAGCATATTCTTATCGTACAGCAGACTAGATACATGTTGGTGACCCTTTACAAAAGACATTAGCATTTTTACTCACCTGTCTTTCTCGAACAGATTCACAGTTGAATAAGAAAGTACCAAATCGGCAGCTATACAGATGATCCAAAATTGTAATCAAAAAGCGTTCATTGAATTCAAAAGCCGTAGGGAACTAAACAGACAAACAAAAGCAAGCAAGCATAAAAGAGTGAGACTAATCTTTCTAAGATTGCAAAGATATGTAGTAGGAGTGACAAAGTGTGGCCAATACTGTGTGCTCTGGGAAAGAGAGCAAAGGTGTGAACTCGTTTTTTGCCACTTTATAGGACTGAGAAGTTTAGATAAGTGTCAGATAAATTAATAAAGATGAAAAGGTGGGCAAAGTCCAATTTTCTAGGTTTTTCTGGGCACACAGGATAGTTGAAGTAATTTAGGGTATTATAAGTTAGCAGACATGCCTATATATAAACACCAGTGTAGAATACATACAAAAGACAACCTGGTATTTTCAGTTCCACTGATCTTCCATTAGTAGAGATAATGCAGTTAAAAATTTAATTTTTAAAACTTTATTACGGAGAATTTCAGACATAGCAATAGTAGCATCAATAAAAACAAACTGAAAAAAAAAAACTTATCTTAGGTAATTTATGAATTTGGCAAAAAAAACCCCAAAAAACAAAAAACCCAAGAAACAAAAAAACAAATTGAACCTCTATGTACCCATCCCTTTGATTCAACAACTACGACCACTATTATTGCATTGCAATCTCTGCTCTGCATTATTCTGGGGGAAATCCCAGATATTATAACAAAATATATGATCTAACCATTTAATTGAGTTTATTTTCATTCCATATATTCCTTACCTGTTTTGACATCTGCCATACACAATCAATAAACTGGAGAAAAATAGGAGATCGGTCAGCATCGGTGTGGTTTTTATCACCATGACCTATTCTCTGAAATGAATTGGTGAAGATGATTTGTATTAATTCTTGGGTAAAGTATATAATCCACAAAATGTGACAGTACAACTCTGCACCCTGCTTTCTAGATGGCAAATTTCTTGGAGAGTAAACAGTATATGTTTCCATGGAAATAGACATAAATAACAGTAGTCTTCATAATGGAAATTAAGCATAAAAACTTCTATAAAATATCAATAAGAATAGGCAAAGCAACCAAACTCTGTGGTTGACACAATGACTTCATAGATTAGAATTTGGTACAAGTCCAGCACAACTGCAGGTAGAATGGCCTAGATTTCCCTGCACAATGTATTCCAAAACATCTGAAGTTCTTGCAGTCATGAATAGACCAACTTCAAAGATTTAAGATTTACAATCATGTCAAAGTATCATTATTAGAATTAAGTTATTTTTCTCTTAAAAACAAGACAAAACCCCAAATCTCACAATGCATTCATTTCCTAAGCAATGATTCTTCCTGTTTCAGAATGCATTCACATTATGAAATCTGGATGAAGGCTAATGTTTCTGAAAGTGATCTATGGATCACCAAGAGACTGGTTAAAAACGCTAATTTAAGGGGCATCTGGAAATAAGACCTGACATGGTGAATTTTAACAGGTTGTGTCAACAATGTAAAAATCATGCATCTGATAATAATAATATAAAACCTTAATCAAAAGTCTAACATTTCTATAAAATACATTTGGCCTAATAGCTAAAATATTAGTTCAGAAAAAATTAGCATCCTATCTTCTTCCTTTTATGCAATTTCAGTGTAAGCATTTCTGGGAAGAGTCTGTAAGACTGTCGGTGAAACACAGATACAGGCATCTTCTCAGACTTGCCGCACCCAAGAGAGCACACCTGTAAAGTGATTTTCATTTTAGTACTACATGCTACAATAATGAGTATTTGAAATCCCAAATGGCAGTGATCTGGGTTTTTAAAAATAACTTTATTTATTAACTTACAGATGCAAATTTATGTCCGAAACTTATCCACTCTTTTTGTACCAGGATTTCGAAGCCTTCAATGCTCCTGTAGAAACTGTCCAACATCAGCATGGCCAGGGAGGTTAGCTGAGCAGTCCTGTCCCAGCCGTCACTGCAGTGCACGAGCACAGAGCTCTTCCCGGAAGAAACTTTGTCTGCAACTTGAATGGCTCCTGTCAGAACCAGCTGGCAGAGAAAGACGTGCTGTCAGGAGGGGGTGTTCAGGGCCTGCTTGCAGCCAAATGTGTGCTTTTTAACTCTAGCAAAATCCTGCTTTAAAATATCAATCAGCGATTAGAACACACACACACACACACACACACACACACACACACACAGAGAGAGAGAGAGAGAGAGAGAGAGAGAGAGAGAGAGAGAGAGAGAGAGAGAGAGAGAGAGAGACAGACAGGAGAATGGAACACCGGGAACCGTGAATCTGTTCATCTTGCCCTGTCTTCACAGACCACATTAGGATGTGCTCCGATGTTAAAAAAACGGCCGAACAGCCCTTCATGGATGTGACTGCAGTAGTGTGCTAGGGCTGCAATAACAAAGTACAAGCTGGGTTGTTTTCACAAGAGAAACTCCAGAGGCAGAAGTTCAAGAAAAGGGCGTTGGTGGAACCCTCTCCCAGCAGCTGGGTTTCATAGCAGCATAACTCCTGTCTTCACATAGCATGCTCCCTGTGCCTGTCTGTGACCAAATGTTCCCATTTAGTAAGGACATCAGTCAGACTGAAGCAGGGAATTGTGCCCTAAGGCTTATCTTAACTCATTCCATCTGCAAAGACTTTATCTCCAAATAAGGTTACATTCTGGGGTACTGGAGGCCAGAACTTCAACATGCGGATTTTTAGGGGACAATATTCGATCTGTAATAGTGATATCAGAGAAATCGCTGGCTGAAAAGGTCTAGTCCAGACCTTAATGGAGTGACACAATGGAAGTCACATCTTGGCTTGTAAATTGACAAAATATGGGCTATTTGGCTCACAAATAGCAGAGTACTTATCCTAAAGGTAAAATGATAACCTAGAAAAAATGTGAAACTCAGAAGCACCAATAAATTTATGTATAGAAAGTAATGCTTTTGGTGATCCAAGTCCTTACAAGGTATTCTTTACAAAACACAGAATTCACTGCAGGGTAAGTATACAGTTTGATGATTCAGTGAATTTATACAAGTGTGCAACCATCACTACAATCTAGTTGTAGTACACTCTATCACCCAGGACGTTTCTTTACACCATCCAAAGTCATCGCCCTCAGCCCAGGCAGTCATTGATTTATTTCCGGTAGCTAGAGTTCTGTCTTTCTTAGAAATTTTATAGACATGGAATCAAACAATCTATGGCCTTTGTATCTGGCTTCATCCACTTAGCATCTAGATTTCATCAGATGATAGACATTTGGTTGTTTTAAACATTAATGCTGCTGTGAACTTTTGCAGAAATATTTTTGAAGGACCTAGCATTTTTACTACAAATGTATTTTAAAATCGTTGTACCATCTCACATTCCCACCAGAAGTATACGAGGGTTCCATCTTTTTATGTGCTTATCAGCTGTTTGCATATATTCTATCATTTTGAGTTGATTTTTCACATCCTTTTATTGGTGCATATTGGTTACACAGATTAATGGGCTTTATTTTGGCAGCTTGAGACATGCACATAATGTACTTTGATCATTACCATGGCCTATCACTCCCCTTAGCCTGTCCTCCCCTCTAGTTCACCAGTTTTGGGACATTTCAAAGTGCATAATATAGTTTGATCATATGCATCCTCCCTATTATCCTCCCTCACACCCTCTTCCTCTTAGTCCCTTCCTCTTAACAATAGTCCCTCTACTTTGTCTCAGATTTCACATATTAGGGATACATGCAGTATTTGTCTGAGTCTGCCTTATTTTGCCCAAAACAATTTAGAGATCTACTCACTTTCCAGCAAATGATGAAATTTCATTCTTCTTTATTTCATTCTCCACTATAGGCATATACCACATTTTCTTTATCTATCTGCTGATGGGCACCTAGGCTGGTCCCATATCTTGACTATTGTGAACTATACACAATAAACATGGGTATGCATACAACCTTATAGTATGTAGACTTTTTAATTCTTTTGGAAATCTGTCTTAGTTACTTTTTTTGTCACTGACACAAAATACTCGACACCCAAAATTAAAGGAGGAAAGGTTTATGTCAGGTTTATATAGAGTTTTCAGTCCATAGCTGGCTGATGCCAAGGCAGGGTGGCATGGCAGAGGGGCATCACAGAGGAGAAACAGTTCATAGCATGGCAGGCAGATGGCAGCAAGCAGTGAGGCAGCTTCTTTCTGTTCCTTTAATGCTACCTGCTTTTGGGGTGATGCCACCTATACCCAGGGTGGCTCTTCTCATCATTCACACCCAAAACTATGCTAAACCAATCAGTGGGTTAATTTAGTAATCACACACCCTTAATCCATATTCACACACCCTAGATCTAGCCACCTCCCCAAACTCCCACCTATGAGCACATGAGGCTTTGGAGGTAGACATCTAGACATGAGCTATAATAGGTATATACTATGGAGTAGTATAGCTGTATCACGAAATGGTAGCTCTATTTTTAGTTTTGGTTGTATTATTTTTATATTCTTGATGATAGCCATTCTGAATGGAGTGACGTGGAATTTTAATGTAATTTTTATTTGTATTTCCTTAGTGGCTAAAGATGTTGGACATTTTTCATATACTTATTGGCCATTTGTAGTTCTTTTCAGGAGTGTCTGTTCAATTTATTTGGCCATTTACTGATTGGGCTATTGGACTCTGGTGTTGTTTCTTGAGTTCTTTATATATTCTAGATACTAATCCTCTGTCAGAAGAGTAGCTGGCAAAGTTTCTTTCCCATTCTAAAGGCTTTCTGTTCACTGTGTTCATTTCCCTTGCTGTTCAGAAGCTTTATAATTTGATGTAGTTCCATTTGTTGATTCTTGCTATTATTTTCTGCGCTACTGAAGTCCTGTTCGGGAAGTCTTTGCCTATGCCCACAGCTTCTAGTGTTTTCCCAATGATTTCTTTTTGGCAGTTTCAAAGTTTCAGCCCTGTGATCCATTTTGAATTGATTTTTTGCACAGGGCGAGAGTTAGGGATCTAGTTTCAGTCTTCTACATATGGATATCTATTTCCCCCTACATCATCTATTGAAGAGGCTATCTTTTCTCCAATGTATGTTTTTGGCTCCAATCAGATGACTGTAGTTGTGTTTGTTTCTGTGTTCTCTTTTCTGTTCTGCATGTCTATTTTAGTGCCTTTACCATGCTGTTTGTTACAATGGCTTTGTGGTATAATTTGAAATTAGGTATTGTGGTGCCTCCAGCCTTACCCTTTGTGCTTAGAATTGCTTTGGCTGTCCTGGGTCTTTAGTGCGTCCTTATCAATTTTGGGATTTTCTTTTAGTTCTGTGAAGAATGACATTGGTACTTTGATGGGGATTACAATGAATCTGTCGATACCTTTTGGTAATGTGACCATTTTAACAATATTAATTCTGCCAATCCCTGAACCTCTGAGGTCCTTTCACCTTCTGATGTCCTCTTCACTTTCTTTCTTCAGTGTTCTGAAATTTGCACTGTAGACATCTTTCACCTCTTTGGTTAGGTTGATTCCTGGATATTTTATTTTATTAAGGTATCGTAAATGGGACTGTTTTCCTGATTTCTTTCTCAGTGTGTTCATTACTAGTGTATAGAAAAAGCTATTGGTTTTTTAATGTTGATTTTATATCCTATTAAGTTGATTTTAAAAAGACTTATTCCATGGTGCTCTCAAAGTTCTGACAGCCATATACAGACATAAAGTCATTTCAACAAATTCAAGGAAATTGAAATGCTCATTTATTTAAATGAATTGCAAGATAAGGCCATGTGAAAGATCTGACATACAGAATGATTTTAAAGAAATGTAACTTTAGTGTTTTACATAAACAGTGGGCAACGTAGAGCTGATGAGGAAAGGTTAGGGGACTTAAGGATGACAGGCCATCAACTGCTTATAGAAAACTCATTATTCCTAAATGACTAGTGCAGTTGTTTTTTCAAACATTTCAAGTATTGTTGCAATTTTTGACAATCACTTTGCAGTACTTCTGAAGGAAGGGCTGTTGAGAGGCACTGTAATATGCTAGATCACTCAAGGTCAACTTAATGAACTCAGGGTTCTAATCCATCTTTACAGACCCTTAGAGAGCAGTATCACCCCTGATACTTCTCTCACATAAGAAGGGACTCAATCTTAGTCAATTATGTTCTTAAAATATTAGATGCTTTCCAATTAGGGATGAATTCCTGCAATCATTTCTGACAGGAACAGCTGTAATTCTCTAATGGACCTAAATCAGGCTTTCAAAACTACATCACTGGAAATTTCAATGATCTGACAGACTTGTGAGTGACGGGAAGAAACAAGAGTCATCGAGCTGTTCACATGGGGATGGTTAAGGGGACTGGCTGTAGGGCTGGAAGCCTGCATGTGAAACCTCCTGCCACTTTGGCTACCTTGCCCTTGGACCTATAGTTTGTTTCTCTCTACTGCAAGGAGAGGGCGATACCTCCACCAGTCTGTCTTGCACTAAAACACAATCCCCATCAAGGGCTAGTGTTAAGCATCCATTCAATGGACACTAGCTACTGGACAGCTCTCCTTTACGCAGCTCAGTAACAGGTCATTTTAAAACAGAAGTACTACAGAGGAAGAGCCCCGAAAAGGACAAAATGGAAATGTAAGCTTTGGATACCACACCACCTTCCTTTGGGGCTCCTGCCAGTGGACTGCATAAGGGCGTGCCAAGGATGGTGGTCTTCTCACTGCAAAAGGCCTGGCCTGGTGTCAGGCACTGAGTGCTAGAACTATTTCACTGTAGTGTGGGTTAGTGATGACCAAGCCCTAATGGGGCTACAGGATAGAATAGGATCAGGTCACCAAAGATAGTCAGGTACCAACCCCTGGAACCTGTGGATACTACCTTACATGGGAAATAGGGACTTTGCAGATGTGGGGATGAGATGAGATGATTCTGGATTGTTCAGGGAACCCTCTGTTTCATGAATCCTGATGAGAGGAAGACAGGGAGACTTCACACAGACAGAAAAGATGGCAACATGACTTCAAAGTTGGAGCAATGTGGCCACAGGTCGAGGA